GTTAATTTAAATATTACTAGAATAGTAAATAAGCACAACTCATTTAATGTAATACATTACATTTTTATTATATTTAATTGTCTATAATTATAATATTATATACTCACATTTTTGGTGACATTTTCTCATTGCCAACGATGTATGTTAGAGTAAATTAAAAATATCTTACTCCACCTTGAAAATCATTTACGAATCAAAAATTAAAGACGATTTCAAACATACTGACAATGTATGGTGTATAATATATCTGTATATATCCATAATATCACTAATAGGCTATTACATAAATTCTATTGTTCAATTGTCATCGATGATTGACATATCTTGTTAACTGACAAATGTTTACATAATTGGTGGTTCGACTTTAACCATTGAAAGACATTATGACTTTGTGTATACAAGGATACATATTTAATTTTAATTGGCAGTTACATCTATTAAGTGGTAAAGAAATATGTACATACTTATTGAAAACTTTAACTTTCTCTAATATTATATATACCTACTATTAGTTTATAAGTGTTCTACCCTGTATTGGTTTATGAAAAGTTGAAGTTTCTACTGATATAATAGAAACTTCAACTTTTGCCAATTTATTCTGTAAGTATTAAAGTTTCCTATAGGGCTTTTGTCTCACTGATCTTATTATCCTACATTATTTATTATTTGAGAGAAAACTATTTCATTGTATGTGAGAGAAAATAAACTGTTATTACTATACATTTCAGTTCGCTTACCAGATAGGTACGAAAAATGTGAATTAAGAAATTCTCCTCTTTAGTTTTTTCTAACTTCTTATACAGAGTATCTCTCTACAGGGTCCAGGATGAAAAACAGATAGATTTTTCATAAAACTGGACATCTCTTAACACTTTCATTAAGAATTAAAGTAAAAATGAATTTGCAAATTAATTATCTATCTATAGGGATCACACAGTTTGTATCACAATTAAATAAATATTTTTATTTTCCTCTTTTACCTATATTATCAATAGTTTTTTGCAGTGACTAATAATAACCCCTACCGATTTACGAGTATAATTATAATGAATGATTGATGATTATTAGATACCAACGTAATCTGTCTCTAATGTAAAAACAACGTAATGTCCTATTGATCTATCAATGATATAAAAACGTCTGCGTAAGTATAGAATTTGCGTCACAGATTATATATACGAGAAGTTTTTAGAAATGGTATTATTAATAGAATAGAAAACCTACCGGGCTCAGCGCAAATTTTACTTCAAGACTTCATGGATTTTTTACCTAGGTAGACTTTTATAATTCGTCTACGCGGATACCTCGACTTCACCATTTCATTTACTAACCACATTCTTTGGTAAGATGTATTTTACTTGTAGAGTGTAGGTAATTGGGTTGTGCAATTACAGTATAAGAGGCATGATATCTTAGTTCTTTAGAAAGGCAATGCACGGGTGTCACATGATAATGTGAATTTCTCCTCGCCTATATACCTGAGTTGTGTAGGAATCTAGCCATAAGCTGCTATTGCAAATACATAAAAAAATAAAACATACTTAATACAAGGAATTATAGATAGATATGGTAGTAACAAAGTTATAAGATTTTCTTCTTTTCATATTTGATTAAAAATAAAAATACATATATTCGGACGTCTGGATTAGAATTTCCTGTTCTTGAAACTATCTCGTTCATTTTCTCTTGTTGACAATAATAATTTACAATAGCTTTACCTTGTTTAACCCCATATTTGTTGCAGTAAGTACCTTTAATAACGAGCATGACAACTGTACACGCAAATATACGTACCTATATGTAAAACAAATACACGTGCGTGTGAATTCTGTATAATCAATTGTCACTGTTTAACCAGATTATTTGATGATGACTATGATTATAATTATCATTGTATTTTGGGCATATTGTATAAATTTATCGAATACAAACAAACTGAAATTGTAGGTTACGAAGGCATAACGATAGTCCTAAAAATGGCAATGTATGAAGAGTACTGAGTTCACAGTACAGCTTATTTGCCATTACAGTCCTAAAAAGATGAGTCTGTAGTCACATCACTAGTCCCCATTGTGCCCATTCCCCAAGAATTAGCCACGAGGTTTTCAAAAGCGACCGCGTAGAAGTCAACCTCCCTAATGATCCTCAATTTTCTATGTAATTAAAATACTACCACTTAAATAAAACGTAGATCCACGTCCCTTCTTTCACTTTTTTAACCAGAATATTTGACTTTTCTTCTATTTAGTTTGGTAATTAATTTTTTTAGAACTGTTACATCCCAACCCAACTCACATATATAGTATCTACACCTACTATTCTAGCTCTATATATATATAAGCTCTACATTTGAAACATTCACTGACAATTTCTAATGAAAACAGCTCATTGTTTGAAATAGACGATTAATGTTGAGACCTGTCTTTTAATAGGTTTCTTATCTATAAATAATTGAAAATCCAAGAACGCATAGTAAATTCACGACTTAAATAGATAAAACGACAGTACCTGACCTGACTGTTTACACGAAGTAAAGGAGCTAAGGATTATTAATGGTTTTTATATACATCCAGTATAGCCTGATATTTTGTAGAGAGAATATTAGATATTTGTTTGTAAAAAAAATTGTAATAAACTGAAGAATTACATAACCAATTGTAATAACTGTTGTACATATAGAATACTAGATCATTAGCGAGTGACATAGGATATATATTTTATTTTGAAATATATACAGACGAGCTACTAAGACCACGAAAATTAGAAAATTTGAAAAGTGTAGACTGAGACAGCGATTTTTGTTTTCTGTCTGTCAGCAATGTGTAACGTTTAGCTCTACGTCTACACGTTTAGAATTATAAAAAAATCCGACCTTAGTTTAAATAGAAGATATCGTTATTTATAGGTATCGGTAAATCCAAGAATTATTAACTTTTTGTCACTTATTCATACTATTTTACTATCCATGTTAATAGTATACTCGGTAGAGTGTGTCTGTCTGTCTATTTGTTACCTTTTCACTAAACGACTGATAGACTGTATCACGAGAACGAAGATAAACTATTGTATATTTAACAACTAATCTGTTTTTTTTGTTAGAGGGGCAATGGAATTTGATTTTTTTCAAGCCTGCAGATATATAGAGAGCTCTCTTTATCTTGGTACATTTCTGCGAGCTGTCTATTTACAGTCTTGTTGCATACTTGTTGAAAAATTATTTGAAGCATACACCGAGACTTCCTAATGGAAACAACATGATTGGGTTTTCCAAACAAACCGACGACGTTTGTAAACATACAGAGTAAACATGAAACACGTTTGTTACCGCGAAAATCTGCCACAGCGACAATACGTGATCATATTATTCAACATGTCGCCTGTCCACCATTTTGTTTTTTAGAACAACGCCTGTTACATACTCATCGGGACTTTCTCAGAACTGTTTTTATATTGGTTTAAATAGGATATTGACATAATCGACTTAATATGACAAAGTATGTACGACATAGGGATGTCAATCTTATATATAACGCTTAGCGTCGTACAAATAAATAAAAAAACTGATATAATCTAATATCAGTTTCGTATAGTATTATAAGATTTAAAACCCTAAGTTTAAAAACGTATTATTGTACAAAATAATAAATTTCTTAATAGGCCCTATAGATTTAGACTAAGAGTTCCTTAATATACAGATATATTTTACCTGCCCATACATGCTGTATTGCATCTTTGCAGCTTATAATGTGTATCAGTTCATATCAATACTTAACCGCTGTCTATTATAAAAATATCTATGTTAAATATTATGAATGCGTGAAACGGAACGATTTCCGTGTAAAAGTAGGTCTCTATTATGCAAAATTATTTAACGATCACAACAAACAATTACGACACGCCGTCAGCACGGTTTAAAAGGTCCGCATGCAACATGTCAATATTTTCGATCTATATGCATAATATTCACCATATCAAAGTTAAAAATATCTTTGTTCATGTGGATCTAATTCTAAACATTTAGAAGTCAAATCTACTGTCACTGTGGAAGGCATTTTCCCGTGTCCCTCATGAGAATCAATGTTCGGAATGTTAAATATATACGTTTATATGAACATTGGCGTACATTTAATTTGGTTTCTTTTAGGTCAATATTTAACAATGCCTCTATGCCAGCTGAGATAATTTTTACTCTATTACTCGCTAGTATGTATCGTTAGCGCAGGCTGTAGTACCATTCCATCATCACCCATGAAAAAGTACGTACGTATATAGGTATAAAAAATACAGTTAAAAGTGAGCATACATCTTTTTGAAGTAAGTTAAATATATCTAGATCAGTGTCACCGTAAAGACACATGCTAGATCTTTATACGTTATTTGAACGTTAGTACTTTACCCGGGAGCCGGGGCCCATGAACTTACTGCGTCAACGGAACAGGTTTACAATCGCCTGCTCGGTTTAAAACAGAATGGCTTAGCAAACTACTGCTTCTAGTGGAAGTTGTGTTATATTGATTTCATAAACATTTAATTAAAGGTTTTTTGCACTTTACCTTGCATAAAAACTTCTAAGACAAATAAGAAAATATTGTACAGTTCTAGGGAGTTAATACTATTAATTTTGTTGTAAACCAATGATCCGCCCTTACTTTGCACAGCACAGTAAATTTGTGGATCTCAGACACACAAATTAAGTATTGACGACATATCAAGACTGAATGTTGAATAAATCTTATAACAACATTTAAGGAATTTATATAAATACAATTATAGGTGATATTTAGTTTTTTCAAAATGGAGTTTGTCATCAAATTACTTTTAAAGTACAGTGCTTGGTGTTAGAAAGACAATACAGAGATGGATTCCTATTTACCTTGGCACAGAATCTTTCTATTTCTCTGTTCTTCCTTTGTATTACTATTTTCTCATACATATTTTGGTGATTTGGAATATAGTGATATGTTACTATGTGTATTAATTGGGATCTCCATATTTTGCAGGGTTCGTGCTCGCATCCGCCGTGGTACTGCTGTTGCTCGGTATCGTTTGTGCCATATTCTTCGGCACCTGGGTCAGACTCTTCATAGATCATGTAAGTATATTTTGTAGTAAAGTACTGATAATCCTGTTTGATGTTATAAATGCGAAAGTTTGTGAGAATCATTGGATATTTTGATGTTTATTACTCTTTTACGTATAAACTATTGGATGACCTCATATCCTATATAAAATTCGCTATTTCATACAAATCAACCTATCTATTTCTTTTCAATCAATTTTCTCAATGAGAGTGACTATTCATAATATGATTTATTATGAATAGTCACTCTTATCATTCATATTCTTTCTCATATTATTTGCAGGTATATATTTTTTATTCAGTCGTTATAGTTTTAATATGCGTTAAAAAGTAGTCGTTTATTTAATAGGTAAAACCACTAAAACCTTTAATTATCTTTCGGTTACTTATCAAATAAATGTGTCTGATTTTGGTTGGTCTTAAAATACATAATAAGTCTATTGTTCTGTCCTTTACAGCATTCAATGCCCCTCACGCATTGCTTATTATAAGGACTATAATTTATATAACTACCGTAAGCATGATGCTAATTATTAGACAAAAAAAATCTGACGACTACCGTACAAAGATCTGAAAAAATGTATTTACACACATTTTATTCATTCTTCTAGAGCTCACCCATTGTCACATGCTAGCGCTACACTCTGGCGAAATACCAGTGGAGAGTGATAAAATTAACATGAAGTCATTCTATCATCTTTCATTGTCAGTACTCTTATTTCTACTGCGATATACTAAATATGCGTTAGAAGTCTCATTAAATAGATAAATAAGACTTTTATTTATTTAAATATTTACAAATCACACTTATATAAGTGTGGATAATACATAGATCGACATAATATTAATATTATAGTTGGTATCATTATTATAGGCAATACAAAAAGTTCATAAGTTTAGTGTCGAAGGTTATATAGGGAACAAAACACTGATTAATAGGTATCGACTAGTCTAGTCTCTGATTGATTAGGTAAGGCTATCTGTCTAATAAAATCAATATCAACGTTATTCTGGTGTTGTACTCACAACACAACGTATATACGCGTATATATTGCTATTATAACTTCGTGGCAGAAATATGATTATAAGACGCCTGTACAGAGTTCATTCTCACGATAGTTTATCAACGTTTACAACCTAGGGCCTAATAGTGACTGGCTGTATCCTTGCAATGTAGACATTGGTTGTTTCGTACATTTTCATAATAGGCCTCATGTTCATATTTTCATTTATTAAAATTCATCATCTTGTGCATTGCGGCAAAGATCCGGAAATAATTACAGCCACTGACATCCGAAAAGCATTATTTAATATCTTTTGAGTATTATTTATAATTAAAAATAAAGTTACATATAATTAAAGATTTTATATTACTACTACTAGACTTGTAATAACCTAATAATTAAACCGTGAGAAATTTGCATGTAAGCAACAATCAATATAGTTTACCGGGGGTGGATTGACAATTGAAACTAAACTATGTCAATTCTATTGTCATTTATATTGGGTAATTCTGAACCGTGATCTGATCTGAAATTGAAGATTCTGTCGATTTAGAACAATAGAAATATATATATACATACAAAAATTATACTTGAATAGAAGAAGTCGTCCTCTTTGAAATCAGTTCGAAATATGGTAACATCATCTTTTCAATCAATACACGAGGACGTTTTTTTATTTAATAACTATTCCACTATAAATACAAAATTATGAGACCGCAACGCGGGTCATTACCTAACGATATTGTGAAATGTACTTTGACCGACTGCGAACAAAAAGTGCATGGACCGTTTGTCATATTGTAGACGATAATTGAATCAATTTGAGTCACTCGACGATGCGCGGCGTTTTGTTAACGATTGTGTGTGTGGTTGTTAGCGACTTATTCGTACGTACAGATTCTTATAAGAAAATTATTATAACTGCTATGTGACTTGCGGGGGAGATCGAATTGTAACCAAATAAGTGTCCTTATAAAAAGTTAATAGTAATTGAAATTTTACATGATTTTGTAGACGTAGTAATAAATCGTTTGTCTCACATAAATGATATTTGACAGAGTCTAGAACCTCAATTATAATATATATATTTAATATAAGAGACATGACTATAGTCTTTCGAAATGGCAATTTATTAGTGGTATCATTCGAACGTCATTTGATAACGTGCTATTAGTGCGTGCGTAGTGCTATTTATATATATAGGCAACAGTTACCACTTACCGTCAGGTGAGCCACCATTCATCAGTTGTTTATAAATATATAAACAATAGAAATATAATATATTTCAATTTTTTTACAATATAAATATAAACCCGACCGTTAATGAACTAATAAAATATATTAGACGGATAAAGTTCTAATAAATATACATAATCATCGATTCAATGAAATTTCTATATCAATCCGATTCCGTCACATAGGATTCAGCATAGAGGTGCAATAATCAAATCGATCCAAAGTATAGTATTAAAATATAACCATGATAAACATGTCAAGAATCTAAGGAATAATGTGTTCATGGAAGTGGATAAACAATAAATTTTAGTAATAAAATATATAAACATGATATACAGATGACTATGTAAATAAAATTTTAATTAATTTGTATACTATTTTTATACTGTTACCCATCCAACAACGGTCCACTCTACTTATTTCTTAACTTCAACCTTGTAGTCAAGTCGAGTAGTAGTGCGTTTACACTCACTGCATCCTTCTTAGCACGCTTTTCGCAACGAAGTTTCAACAGTGAGCTATGTATCCTTATATTTACAAATAGTATGAATAAACTCTCCAACGTAACTCAGAATGCTGTGGTTTATTTACTATCACAACAACTTATATGAATACAGAGGAAAGACACGTCCTTGTTTATGAAAATAGGAGTGAGTGTCATTAAATCTATACCCAAACAAACAGATAAGAAAAACTATACCGCCTATAGAAATTTATAGTCTAGAATGTCACAAAAAATGACAAAGAAAGAAATGTCATGAAAGTTATTGCTTGATTGCGAAAAATATAAACACGTTCGAACGATTTCAAATGTGTTAGATAAGGAACCGACGTAATAGTTTTATTATTATTATTGTATGTTATATCCAAGATATGTAAACAAGTAACTTTTATTGAGTGCTGGTATGGTAGAATGTTACGCCGAAATAGTTCAAAATCCTTGTATTGTATGTGAATGTATTAGTTGTGTAATAAACCCTTCAGTCACCCATTCGATAAAATTATATCCAATAAGTAGAACGACAAAGTTTCTAAATATACAAAATATAGAGCTGAAGCAGGTTGGGTTCCAGAATTGCGGTCAAGGTGTTCGAGTCCGGTGGAGCTCCATGAATAATTAGCAATTAGTCGGCTCGCACGGGCTTTCGAAATCGGCTGTGAACGGAAAACAATAGTTGTGGTGCACTATAATGAGACGGATATCAACACGTGTTTAATGGTCAAGGCATTATTTTGCGTGCAAAATTATTTTGTTTCATTGACAATTGCAAAAAACTAACAGATGATCAGATGCTTTTAGTGTTATTATAGTAGTTGACGAAATAATCCAGTTATGATCTATCATCAAAATAATTTATTACTGTTTTATTGAATATACTTTAATATAATTGTGAGTACATTAAAAAATAAATATTTTACAGAGTTTAATCACTTACATTTCCGTTTAAATCACGATGTTTACTCAAGATTTCTGATCATCGTTGATGTCTTTTTGTAGTATCTGTGAGTAGTAACAAAATGACATCTTATTAGTTGTCCTAATTTAATTTAGATATTAAATATTTTGGCTAGTTAAAAGATATGAAGGTAATAAGGAATACTATTCTGTACATATCGTCAATATTTGATTCTTAATAGTATACTATTAAGAACCAAATATTGACGATATAATACCATTAGGCTTATAAAAACATTTAATACGCACACAGACATTTTAAAAGAGTACTATTAAATACAATGTAGTTAAAAATGTTTTTAATCTATACATATAAATAAAATAAAAATATAAATATAAATAAAAGTGTCTGTTTGTAATATTGAAATAATCGTTTTTTACTAGATGCGTATTGGTACATACACCAAAATAACATTTTTTACAATTTTAGTCTGTCTGTTTGTTCCGGCTAATTCCGGCTATTCTGTATACGAAAAATAATAAATAGAAAACATCCAGACCGACACAAACAATAATACTCATGAATTCAAATGTTTACATTGTGCAAGGAATCGAACACACGACCATCGGAAGTAAGGCGGTGTGCTAAACCGCAAGACCACCGAGGCCGTCAAACTTTATTTGAATTACGTTGCAAATTTTATAACCACTACAAACAGTTGGGTAAGCGACCCTAAATGTCACCGATCACGTACCCGCGACTCGCGACAACGCAACCGACCTAACACACGTTGAGCAATGATATAACATGTGTCTATAATGCAACATAAAACATTTTGTAACAACTGAAGAGATCTTGAACCGATTGCAATATTGCGAATCATTGTACGTATTGTTATATACTTAGCCCACGATAATCTTGTTATATTTAATACTAATTGACCCGCGGAACTTTACGGCACGTTTACTCCGTTTTTGCAAGTTTTCATTGCAGCTTGGCTTCTATTAGTCATAGCGTGATTTTATATATCCCAAAGCCTTCCTCAATAAATGTGCTATCCAGCACTAAAAGAATTTTCATAATCGGATCAAAATCTAGATCTTCGGACATCCAAACATAAAATTGACATCCATATAATATTACTATAAACTAGCCAACCCGGCCACGTGTTACTATGGCTTATTGTCGGGATTAGTTCGTTTAAACTTTTAAACTCGTATCAAAAATCTTGTTTATTAGCTCAATTAGTGCACACTCCTACATGATATACATATTTCCACAGGTTAAAATGGCACTTGTACGAGAATGAAAATGTCCTCATAAGCTCTAAAATAGGAAGATTCTCATACGATTGGCATCCAATGACTTAAAAATTCTAATTTGAGATCAAAAAACTATCCTATCTTTTAAGTTAGACCAAATTACATACAATGAGATAAATCTCATAATAAATGTTGAAGTCGTTTCGGCGTTTATCCTGGTCAAACTATGTACGTGACGCGAAAATTTATAATATAAAAAATAAAATAATATATATATACTCGTAAATAATGATATGCCTCTCGTTACAGCATTGTATGTGTGACATGCATATAAATCGCTAACAATTGGTTATATAAGAATATTGTGGATACTGTATATATTTCTGATATAAACTTTATGGCTTTGAAAGGGTCGTGATTAGTCTGTGTGTTTATATACATATATCTGTAAAGTGTATTTATATTCATCTTACTTCTTACTGCCTAACTATCTTACTAATATTAATAACATAAACGTGGAAGTTTTGTAAGTGTGTATAGATGGATTGATCGATGAATGTTTGTTACACTTTCACTCAAAATCTATTGATTGAATTTTAAAGAAATTTTACAATCTTATTACATCAGAATAACAAATAGGCTATAATTTCAAAAGATGTTAATTATTATGTGAAATATAAACGTATAATTAGTAATTATCACCGGATCTTACCACGATTTATTTATATATATAAATCTTTAATTAAATAAAAACAAAAAACACGGCAGAAACTGTAAATGTACGTGAAGATACTAAGTAGGTATAGTTTGCCAAGATGAATGTCGAACGAGTTTCAACAGTAGCAACAAACGAAGATGTGTGAAGGTAGACGTATAGGTATGTCTGCCCATAAAAAAATTTTTTTATCTATCTACCTGCTGCTCTTCAGTTTACCCATGATCATGGCGGATGAAACACTTCCGTAATATCGGGAACTCAATAAAAATAATGACTTTTACTAATTATACGTATACATAACTTAGTCGTCAACGCGTGTAAGGTAACACAGGCATTATAAAGTATTCAGTAACGCCCTTGGTATTGATATGGTATATATAATCAACGGCGACTTTCCATCAGCTGATCTGTTCTAGAAACTAATTCCGATTCAATGACACTATTGCACCGTTCTGTACATTTCAATAGTATTGAATTATATATGAGCAATGTCTTAATATCATATTTCGTAGTCAATGATAAAACTAATTTACATTATTTTCTATTTATTTAGTTTAATATTGTTTACATGTCAACATTAATCAACTAAATTAACACTACAATAATGGGTTGGATTGTAATCTTGGAAACATTGGATTAGACTCGAGCGTAAATCTGTATGTGGTGGACTAGATATCTCATTGACAATTTTTTATGAACAAATTGTAAATATTGTAATAATAATTTTTATTCTAAATATATGGTTTTACAATTTTTATGTAATTCTGGCTATGAAATAGCGTTGGCTGTGTGGCAAGTCAGTTTCTTTACTATACAAATCAGTTTATAATGAACTGATTTAATAAAACGAGGAACATTAACATTTTGACGTTGGATTTATGTTAAACAGGAACTAGTGCTTCGCCCCGGCTCGATGACATTCGAGTGGTGGGCGCGGCCCCCGGTGCGGCCGTTCATCAGGGTCTACGTGTACAACGTGACCAATGCGGATGAGTTCCTCAACAACGGCTCCAAGCCGATCCTCAATGAGCTCGGGCCATATGTCTACTCGTGAGTATACCTACCTACTTACTACTGCAGTACTATTGCGTATTTTGTGTCTACAGATCAGCTTAGTAATGTCTAGCCTATAACTCGTGACTAGTAATTTTTTTAACTTCGATAAAGCAGTCAATTCGGTTGAATTGTTGTCATTACAACCGTTAAAGCCTTTATTACAATAAGAGGAGTTCGATATCAAACACTGTAATACCAGATTTTTAAATATTAGCCTTAGCGAATTTTGCATGAATTTTGATGAAATTTCTTTAGATATTCCTATTTTGTGTCATACTATTTTCCACATGCATTATTTTTAAATATTAATAACACTAAGAGAGTTAATTCAATTAATGAGACAGTTAAATCACAATATTTTATCTTAATAATTTTACTGCAAATTCATAGATAAATAGTACAATAATAAAGCATAAAGGCCATCACTTTATAATTTTACAATTATTTATACAAACAGTAATTGTACCAGCACACAGCCTTTATTATATACTACCTACAAAGTCCTTTTTGCACTGTATAAGTATGTATATACAATAATAAATACGTTTACAAACACGTCAATGGACAACGGTTAACCACAGAACACTAATATTCTAGGCGTATAACTATTAACTGAGGTTACATACGAGCCATGATATCCCAATGCAGTTTTATGATTTTCTATTCGTGTGGTATGATGAGGTTCCGAAATTACACCCATAATATTGTTTTCTTGATAAGACAAAATATCTTTGTGATTAAAATCACGAAATTATATACAAATAATGTACATACAAACGTAATATACAGTAGAAATATTATACATGTTTTCAAATAAATCTGAAATTATAACACTGACTAACTTGACAGCTTCGATGGTCTAGCGGTTTAAGACACCGCTTTACTTCGATGGTCGCGAGTTCGATTCCTCGCACGGTACAAACATTTGTATTCATAATGATAGTTTGTATCGGTCTGAGTGATTTCTTTTATATATAATTTTATATTATTTATGTATTTACATAATAAAAATATCTCAGTATTTATATGTGTTGTGTAATACCCATAACACAAACTCTGCTTACCGTGGGTCTAGGATGGCGCTATGTTAATTGTCCAGGGTTATTTATTTATTATTATTTTAACACTGCATTTCATACAGATGAAATTGAATTAATAAGTAAGTATAAGACCTAAGTTTTCTTTTAAAAATATTTAATTTTAATAAAGACAGAAAGCCACGTGTCTGTATTGACTAAACGATCTGAAATGGCCTAGTTGAAATTTTCCTCAATTTGAAACAAATCAAATTTGATTACGACCTTAATTTGACCATAATTGTTTATTTAATTGATTTCCACTTTTATTAATATTAAATAGGTATGCTATAATTAGTTATATTACCTATATTGAATATAGAAATTATTTAAAATGTGTTAATATTAAAAATGAAATAATGTAATACATACCTTTTATATAATCTATATTATAGAAAGTGTTTGATATAAACTATAGTTACATATAATGTATGTGTATGTAATAAATATATGTATTATATATACAATGTTTTTATAACCATTTTGAATGTTATTTGTTGCCAAAACAATTATGAAACTCAGCAAAGATATTACGTAACATATATATAATTAAAATCAAAATACAATTGCAATAATAATCTTATCTTATTATTATTAATAATATTATAAACGCGAAAGTTTGTTAGTATGGGTGGATGTTTGTTCCTCTTTCACGCAAAAAGTACTGAACGGATTTTGATGAAACTTTACAGTAATGTAACTTATACATCAGAATAACATATAGGCTATAAATTTCACACGGGTGAAACCGCGGGCACATCTAGTTATTATATATAATATTTAAGTATAATGATAACAGTAGTGAGTTTAACTGAATAGTAATAGTATATGCGATTGATAGGGCCCGAACAACACCTAATACTATTACTAGTCTATCGAGTAATACCAGTCGATTGCACCAGATATATTAATAGACAATAACAAGACAACAGCGAGACACGCAACATCGCATGTTCATCAAGAACTATTTAAGTAAATTGTAACTTTGTTAGAGTTTAAACGGCAATTACTAATGTATTATTCTATTTTCCTACATAATTCTCTTATATCCTATGCAATATATAATTACGTGTATCCTTCATTTATTTATTATGTGTAGGTAGTTATAGGAATATTTTCCATAGATATACCAAGTAGGTGTAACATAATGTTTCATACAGTCGGAAATAATCTATTGAAACAATTTTCTTTTCAAAAGTTAATAGGTTGAAATTAAAGACCCTGATACTTTAAGCTTATTTGTATATCTAAATACAGTACCCTCACCTTCTAACTCTATTATTTATTTGAGGGTATAGTAAGTTCAGATAACCATCATCAAGTTCTAAACTAAGCTTGTACTATTGATACTAAACAACACATTAAAATACTTAAATGCGTATGTTATTGTAAATTACATACCTACATAATATACATAGAAAACACTTGAACCAAACCATATGAATACAAATCTCTGTAACATACTAGAATCGAACCCAGAAGTTATTCGTGGAAAGCCGCTAGACCACCGAAACCGTAAATAAAATATAAAATATTGGTGTCATGTGTTTCTTAAGTTATTCAGTTTCATGAATAGGTATTGTTACATTCATTAACAAGTACAACTTATAATTCAACAGAGAAGAATGGGAGAAAGTGAATATAACGGACAACGAGAATGGGACACTCTCGTTCAACTACCGGCGCACGTACACCTTCCAACCGGAGCTGAGCGCGGGCCCCGACGACGACGCCGTCGTTGTACCAAACATACCAATGCTGGTGAGTCTCACTCAGTTTTATATAGGTAGACTTTGTATTTGTAATGTCCTTCTCACATATTTCTGCTGTCAAGCAACTGAGTGAGATAAAATATATTGCAGTGAAATTAAGGGGTAACAGGTAACAGGAGGCATGATACTGTATTAATCTAGAAAGGCAATCCAACTGGAATACTATAGACGTCACGTGATTAGAATAGAATAGGAATAATCTTTATACAAATAACTTAAATATAAGCACTTATGCAAAGTCATAGCTTTTTGATTCTACCGCTAATTCGGAAACCAAAAACAAGCAAGAAACTTGCGTGTTGCTCTGCAGTGATGAGTATGTGAAGTTCGTCGATGTGTTGATATCTATAAGTGACAGTTGCCATTTTTCGTCAGCTTGTTTACCATTCTAATTATAAAAATATACTCAAGTGTCGTTGGGCTCATTTTTCCCGCCTAAAGTCAATTTCATAATAACTAACAGAAAAATTACCATACATATATGCTTATAAATTTCCAACAAGTAGGTGACAACATGTGGCTACATTGCTGGTATTGAGCGCACTTTCTCATGCGCACTTGATCGCGTCGTCACTTCACTATACAGAAGTGCTTTATGTTTACCAAATTCCATAAAAAAATCATCCAAAAATAACATTGAAACTTTGAGTGATGCGTAGTATTTAATTTGTGACTCTGCAATTATTATTGGCAGCCATTATGATAATGATAAGAAAATCTAAAAAGCGTTTCTTCATAAACAAACCGTTTCCCATTTTAATGCATTACTATCTACGCCGCGCTACATGTTAAGCATATTTGTAAAAAGAATGCTTAGAAAACACTCGTTCAGTTTGTTAGTACATCTGTTAATAAATCAGTGGTAATTATTATAAAAATGTGCGGTGATTGTTCAACGGAGCGATCAATATTGTACGCTGAGACGTGCGGACATTTTTCAAGTGTCGATGAAATGCGCAACTGAAGACTGTTTCGGTTTACTTCGTCGACAAGTAAATAAATATACGTTTCATATCTATCTGCTGTTGGTATTTTGACAACCTATGTAGATCACATGGTACTAAAATAGTTCCAGACATTTGACTTTGAATAGTCTGTCTCATTAGTACGATCTCTGACTGAACAAACAAAACACCAAACGCCGCAAACAGCAAACACCAGATGAGCTTTATGATACATACCTACATATATCTACGATACATTATTGAGGAAAAAGAATCCTACCTACAATTTTTCTATAGCAGTACGATATCTTTAGGCGATACTTTCTACTTTCCAAGAGTTGAATCTACAGTTTATTTCCTATTTCCTCTTGTTGCATAAAATAAATCAGTCTATTTAATGTTCTTATACTATGTAATATTATGTTATCTGTGCTTATACTAATCTGTAAGATGCTAAAATTTTATATCAACGTAGCTTTATACTGTATAGATGGATGGAACAGTATTTCTCAATAGATAGTTACTGTTGGTTGGTTCCGCTGCAGTGCGCCGCTCCTTAGCCCGACCGACTAAGTTTACTGATTGGAATGCACAGTTATTTTTCATTATATCAAGACTCAAATGCTCCTATAGTATTGTATCTATTACTGGCAACACGTGTAGTCGTAATATATCTGTCCAAATTATAACATTAATGAAGTAGACAGCCATAATCCGTTTCTACTCGTATTCAATTCTGTCGTAAATATTTCTAATCGTAAATTATAAAACGTACCTATAGGTAGGTAGGAAGTTGTCTTACTTAGTCATTAAGATTGCAGAATGTTACTATTTGTAATCATTTAAATGTTCTTCTGTCATTTCAATTAAATCTTAGTTTCTCTATATTCCTTCTCTCTGTCTTATCTCTATATCTTTCTGTATAAATCAGGCAGTTGTTTTAAGTTTCGTAGGTAATGTATAATATCTGAATGAATAAAGTACCTGTGTACTCTGATTTTTATATTCTTTTGAAACGTTATACCGTTATTATATATACGTATAATATATCTATAATAAATTAATTCCATATTTAAACTAACTCTACCATTCGTTCGTTGCTGGTGTATAATTTAAGAGTATAAAACGGGGCGACATAGCGCAATCTAATTCCATTGAAAAGAGTGTTCTACGAGTATGCCGACTGAAACTCGAAAACTAGAATTTAAAATCATTATCAAACATTTTTAAGTTACGCACCTTAATTAGTTTAATTAAGGTGCGTAACTTAAAAATACTATAGTTTTCGCTGATAAAATAAATAATGGCCCTTATACCCAGTTACCTAATAAATTCCCCGTGATACAAACCACAAACTTAGTAGGTTGCGATCACGCCCGGTAAACAAGACGGATAATTTTCCAATCGTTTCACAATTGGATCATAATCCATAACAGCCAGTAATCGATTGCTTTCTCGTTTGATACTAATAACACATCTAAGACACGAAAGCGTGGTGACAATGGTGGATACTGAACATTACATCCTTTTAGAAATGATTTGTAATTGGTAGTGGGCCCTATTTAGGTGAAGTCTGTGTTGTGTCGTAAATACATTTTTACTGTGTTATACTGACATCAACAGTTGAAGCTATGCTGTTTGTGATTATTATTATTATATAACAGTCAAAAAGACAAAATGTACATAATTATGACGCAATATATTTGACAGTGTAATGTACTACTAAGACATCATCGTTGCTAAATCTCGCATATCGCAACCTCGCGATCTCCTGCCAAATTTTGTAGATTTTACCTACATTATTTCAAATGTTAGTCAACAGCTATAATTTGGTTGGAGCTAGATCTTTATTTTATGTAATTGAAATTGCAAACTGACATCATCCCACATATCATATATATGACTACCTATACGTTGCTATCCGGAGAACTAAGATGTCATGCCTCCATATCCTAATCTTTTTTCATCCTTCAACCGAAATACATCTTACAAAGCAAGTTGGTTAGTGGCTGAAATAAGTGGTGCAGAGGTATCTTATGCAGACAGCTTTGTACATGCACTACCTCGATGAAAAAGGATGTACTACACTTTTTTAGTACCTATTTATATCATAATTGTTTGATTTAAATTTAAACCTTTAAACTACTAATTTTGTTACACAAGCTAGAACTGCAGTAAACAACGCTTGCAAAATCCAGTTAATTTCAAATCGTGACTGGAAGTAAACTTTAATTGAATACAGAATATTCTTTTTGTTGATATATAAATAAATAAGATGATAAAAATGATCAACCAGTCAACATTTTCAATGTATATTATGATTATAAAGAAAGAAAATATATAAAGAAAGACGTTTACAGATTAAAAAAATAGTAATATTTATTCTTTTTTGCGTATGATACGCTAGCCAGATGTAACTGTCTACGGGATCCCATATTTAAAACCGTAGCACTTTTAAATACAGACTAATATGCTTCCTGGCGTTTTCTAACAAAAATCTAATAAATTAGTTTATTATATACGATTTGAAGTAAGACCTCTTTCTCCATCATTTATTACTTCCACATTAAGCACCTGTTCCTAGAATAACTAACCCCCTGTGAAATGTATAAAATATTTTACAGTTGCAAAATGTTAATGTTCACTGCCCATCTAATTATACATAGCTGCCGTGATGTTTTTCCAATATGCAAACGATATGGACTCGGTCGACGAACGCGTTACACATATTTATAGATTTAATTTGCATATAATTACTTTTACCTTAGACGCTCAACATTGTCAGAACTACACAAAAATAGTTATATTGAAGACATCATGAGTAACGGTATACATTTTTTTTAACAAGTGGAAATTTCCATCACGGAGAAAAGCAATATGCAGGATTTTACATACTAAAAACCACACGATTTATATCGATGTACCGTAATCTAAGGGTTAGTTATAATAGTAAAGCTTTATGACTAAACAGTAGATGCATCTGCCTATTAATTCATTGATTGTATAGAGATAGGGGTACAGTAAGTTGAGTATAATCCATTTCTACCTAGACGCATCAATAAATACTGTTTATAAAATAAACTTTTTATAATACCATAAAAAGATACTATTATATTGACTATACATTAGTCATCTGTTCGATGTTTTTTTTTTATAATGGATGATAATGGAATGGTGCACCCGTCTGAGCTAACGGTATACGCTGACGGGGTACCAGTGGAGGATGATAAAATTAGCAGGTTAGGTCAGTAAGCCCATTTTCGGGAAATTCGCCAGGATTTGACATATAAAAGTCAACCAGATATGGTACGTTGCTAGCAATGAGGTTATTAATCCACATACTAACAATCCCCTTCCCCTTTTGTTCTATGGTTTGACTTATTGAGGTTTGCGATGGATGATCAGCATAACTACTCTTTAGAAAAATCAATTGCTGTATTGATAGTATTTATCCAGCACTAGATTTGTTATTGTTACACGTTATATTATAGCAGACACAGCAGACAAGGAAGTTTTATCCATCACGTTCATGTTATTAATGAAAAATAGATGAAATGAAAAATGAAGAAGACCTGTTTTGTGCAGATTTTTATTCTTTACAACTTTTATTTAAAACATTTTTTTATATTTCCTATCGAGTTATTTTGAAAACAAAAGCGCTTTTCAACCCTTTTTTTTATTTTTTTCATGTTTTTCCCTTTAAGTTAAATAAAAATTTCTCACTGAATATTATTATTCTCGTATTTGCGGACTTATTTTTATATATTGCGCAAAAACTGGTCACATCTTGTTCAATTTAAAATTTTACTGGACTATATGTTCGTCGACAATTTGCCACGAACTAACAATGCTATGTGTGTTAAGTAAGGTTGTGGTAGTGGGAACTTTAAATCTTATTTATTGTTCAAAGTTAATGAATGCATGTTCCGGTGATGGACACGGCACTGCACAGTGTCAGTTTTTAGGTCAAACTATCTATGATAACTACAATGTTTGGTGTCCATTACCTGTTACACCGATCATTGTGCAATGGATCAAAGTTAAC